TGCCTTGTTAGAGAATTAGTGCAGCAAATTGTCGGGGTTTCTGACAAACTGTGACTTCATGCACACAAATCAAGTTCATCTTGCTTGGCTTATATTATGGACACATGGCCTACAACTCCAGTCCCAGCACAAAACATATTTTAGGCTAAGAAACTCAACTTTAGCACTATCTGTGCTGCATCCAAACGTTGAACAACTAAAACCGAAAGTGCCCAGTTATTCTTTACTCTTTGTGCCTTTGTCTGAACTTATTAGACAGCTTTGCTATGTCATTAATCTGGAACTAGGCTCTCAGAATTGGATGCTCTGACGGAGATATTTTATTCTTGTTTATACAGCATCCAAAATGTGTCTGGCTTATCTGACGGCTTATCTACCTATTTTGTCTTATCCTGTCTAATTGCAAGCTCAGGTATAAAGAGAATAACTGAATCTGAAGAGTAAATAAATAAATTGGAATCAGCAAAGACTGTCTGAAAATTCCCAGGCATATCTATAGGCTTCTCCTACAGCTGGATTTGCTTTCTGTCACAGGTTTTTAATGTAGACCCTATTCTGTGATGCCAAAAATGTGAAAAACAAAGTTGAGGAGAATTATGCAGCTCTAAGTAGTGAAATTAATCTCTGACTCTTTTTAAATATTTCAGAATCCTTTTTGCCCTCCAAACAGGAGTACTGCTCAGTGAGGTAAATGAGAGCAGTTCATGTTTCCAAGGGCATTATTTATTTTAAGATAATTATTTATTAGTTAAAATGCATTCTCTAGTAGCCAAGATTTTTTTTCTTTATTGGAGCTTAACACCATTTCCATTTCAATAGTGATAGTGAATGTAGTGAGCAGGGCCAGAGTGTACAAAACAAACATCCACTAACTTGTAATCATTTAAATATGCAAAACTATACTTTGATACAATGCACCATTAAAAAGGAGCTGGGAAGTTCACACATCTGCTCCTGCATCACTTGTCAAACAGCAGAACAGCTCAAAGAGCAGCTTGCTGATTTACAAGATCAAACTCACCTCAGCAAGTTTGCTATCTCGTAAAAATTTTTGGTATGTGACGTCTTCACATTTTTCAGGACATGGAGAATCAGAAACTGAATCGACAGAGCTTTTGTCTTTCTGTGCCCTCTCTTCACTATCCAGCAGCACCAGCTACCTGCTCCACAGGAGCTTCACTGTGGTTCTCTTCCAGTCCTTGGAGATGGAGGAAGGGCTTTGTCACCCTGGCTGACAGAGTCCTTTCACAGTGACAGTATTTTACAACCTGAGAGATTATGTTTACAGAGACCTTTGAATAGTTCACTGTTTCAGAAATAATATTCTTAGAAGGAAAATTAATTTGTTGTTGTGCAGTTTACATTAGCATCACGCAGGCAGGGTCTAGAGGATACAAATCAATCAGAATCTTTAAACAGTTCCTGGCACTAGTTTGTACAGCATTTTAGTTTTTCTCCTGAACTCACGTTAATTTGGAAAAATGTGCAGCAACTTCACCTATATGTCTATAAACTGAGCCTGACTTCTCTAATTTCTCTCACTGCAGAAATGTAGAGCTTTTTTAAAGTATCAGGAAATCACCACTACCTTTCAGAAAATCAAATAACTTTGATATTTACAACAATTTTCAGGTTTTGAAGCAGAAAGCTGTAATATGATTGAAAGAAAGGTTTAATTTTTACCAGTAACAAGTAGGATACAGGTATGCCATGTACACCTTTGGCATAGATGAGTGAACTGTGCTCCCAGTTTTAGGAGAAAAGAAAACAGATCCATACAGCATCGCTGTATTGACGTATCTTAGACAACATACATGGCACACACACACATACCCACCAATTTCACTGCAGGAATCTGATAAAAGCCAAATAACTTTTTTTTTCTTTTTTTTTCCTTTTTTTTTTTCCTTATAAATGGGACAAACTGATATTTCTACACCACTGTTTTAACTGCTCTCTTAAGAGGCTTCCTGTTTCCAGAGCTCCCTTTCACATTTCACATTTCACATCAAGGCTTGTTCTACACATACACCAGCTGTAACACTTTTAACAATCCCTATATAGTTATTGTACTGAAAATGCTCTTCTGTGAATGTAAGTGCTCTATCACAGTATAATGTGAGTACAAGCATTAGAAAACTAGTCCATATTCCCACTACAACTGCATCCATATTGGAAATAATATATGTCATCCTGGGTAAAAATCATGCTCTAATTAAACGGATTCATCAGGATAGAAACAATGCATAGACCAAGCCAACAAAATAACCTCTTAGTACAAAATTTCTGACTTTGAGACATCAACTCACCAGCTTTAAAGCCTGCTGGCACTGTTGGAAATGAATTGTGCACATCACTCACTCTGCTCTATCTAGTGCATTGCTGTGTTGGGGTCAACATGGAACCCCCCATTGATGCCAGAGAGGGCTCTCTGATGATAAGTTTCGGTGGCACACAAGCAATTGCCTTGGACAAGAAAGGGTCCCAAAATGTAATGTGACAGAATCTGCCCCAAAGGTAGAGTTTCTTTCAAAAGACTACCAAGTTCAACCTCTGGAGCCACCAACTCTCTCAAAACTAATTTCTATCATCACCCTTCTCCTTTCTGAGAATTTTGAGCAGCTTGTGTGTGTAAGAATGTTGTCTTTGCAAATATTTATCTCTAGCAACTCTTTAGTCCATGGCTCCCCCAGATCCAAGTCAATCAGTTCCCACAGTAGCAGGAGAACTGAATCAGGAAAGCTGATTTCTTTTGTACTATACAAAAAAGTCAGGGTGAAAGTTATCCTCTTCTTGCAGGAACAATCACCACTCCCTGCTTTTGATATTAAAACTATAATTTATTCTTGGGGTAATGAACTAGTACCTGGTTCAGGCACCACTAGGCAGGGACGGAGTACCGGGCTTCATTGACATGGGCTACACTTGATACCAAATATCTTATGGATATCAGAAATTATTTCCACTGTTTATCATCTTCCAGCTTCTAAAACTAACTCTCCAGTATGCAATGGCCCATCTCAAAGATGAGTAAAACAAACATAAGAAATCAAGGAAGTATCTATTTTCTGCTTTTAGGCATATCTTTGACTATGTGAGAGTGGTAGACAAAGACTTTATTGACAAATTTGTACAAAGGAAGTGGATTTACATGTAAATAATTATATTATGAATGTTGACTAGCTGCACACATCACAAGGAAAACTTCAAGGAGGTTTGTATGGGTACGCTAAACAAAATACGTTTGCTTTATGCTGTTCTTTCATGGTCATTTTCATTGGAAGCACAGCTTATAGTGGCATAGCAATCGTACCTTTTTCATTGTAAAAGCTCCATGTGTCTGGAAACAACATCAGGCTCTCTGCAGTGCAAAGGGTGAAAAACAAAGTTGGCTCACTTCAAAGTTGTCAACCTCTAGTTGAATATATTTCCTCTTTGGAATCTCTTGATGTTGTTTATGTCTATCCTTTCTAGTAGTGAATGCAGACAAAAATAATTACATTGCTAGAAGGATGAAGGTAGAAATGGTTGCAAATAGGATCTGACCAAAGATTTGGCAAACAAACTGTTATTTATTTTATTTATGTTAACATTTTCCTGATGGTTAAGGAAAAATGTCCTTAGATGAAAACATATCTGCCTGGATTATTGAAAGATACTAAAACTGTAAGTGATGAAAAGAAGGAAGACTTGCTGGAATCTCTCTAGTTCACATGGTAGCACTTCCTGGGAGAAGCAGTGTGAGAAAGCTTTCATAACCGGATCTTCAAAGAAGCTTCACCTCAGCCTCCATTTTTTTTTCAGTCCATGACCATTTTCATGAAAAACTATGCCTCTGTGAATACAAACCCACAGATTTACCCGCAGAAATTTGGGTTCACGCTGCAATAAAGCTGATAGACACTGCATTCTTGGGGAAAAAAAAAAACACCCTCCATGATACGTGAACTGCTCTGCTGTCCCATTGCTGAGTGGGAGGACACCAAAGGCACAGGGGTCTGTATTTTTGCACGTCTGACTTTGCCTAGATGCCTGGTGATTTCTGACTTCAATATACTCAGACTCCTACCCTGAGATACTGTGGATGCTTGAAGGTGCTGAGCCTTTCTTCTTCCTCAGGAGAGGCCAGACCACCCGCTGGGATGGGTACAGAATTCTGGAAGAGGGAGTGGGAATGTCCTTGTGCTGCTCACTGTCGTCCTTTCAGGGCACTGAAGTGCTCACGCAAACACTGTGCTTAAAACCAGCCAGTGTATTAATGACAGCTTGACCTGAAAAGGTCCTATCCCTGCACTTTTTCCACCCCTGCATGTAAACAAGATTTCTGTCAAATAATTAAAAAGCACAGGGCTCATAATCAGTGCGACTTCATTCCCAACAGTCAGTGGGAAGGACAAATTGGCTAGTGGGAATTTGTTTTGAAGCACTTCCAAAATAACTATAAAAACGACATGTCATCCTTGCCTGTTGGTTGTGTTTGAAACAAAGCATTTGAAAGTGCACACGTTTAATACTAATTTACAACGGCTTCGTGGACGGTTATGAGACCATTTTAATTAACGTCATACTCTTATTTTTAAAGGTCTTCTGCAGCATCCCAACCAATTCTGCACCCGCCCTGCCAAAACAGGCATAGGTCCCCATCCTCCACGACAGCCTCTCTGCCTCCCACCGGCACCCAGACCGGGAGTGATAGTGGGTCACTGAGTCCCTTCAGCCGCAGAGGAAAGGCGCGCTGGCGCGAGGCGGCGGCCGGGAAGGGGATCCCAGCACCAGCCTCCGCCTGAGGTAACGCCGTTCCTGCCGCTCGCAGCCCCGAGTACTCGGCCCCAGCCCCGAGTCGGTGACGGCGGGCGGTACGCGGGGACTCCTCCTCCGCGGCGACTCCTCCTCCGCGGCGACTCCTCCTCCGCGGCCTCTCCCCGCCGCGACGGCCGGGGGCGTGCCCCGCTCCGCCCCGCCCCTTCCCCGCCTCTGCCCGCCCCGGCTCGCCGGAGAGGCCGGTCCGCGCCCGGCTGCCGCCGTCGCCGCTGCGCTCGCACACTTACTTGCAGCCGCTCGGTCTCCTGCGCCTCGTCGTTCTCTCCAGGCCGGGCCCCCAGCCGCGCCCGGCGCCTGCCGGCGGCTTTCCGCCTTGGAGGAGACGCTCCGAGCTGCGGCCCCTGAGGTGAGTGTCCCCCGGGTGACGGCGGGGGTGAGCGGCGCGGAGGGGGGCCGGCAGCCGCGGGCGGGGGGCCGTGGGCCGCCGCTTCCCCCACGGAAGCCCGGGCCTTGGCCGGTGGCGGACGGGTCGGGGTCGGGCGACGGCCCCCTTCTGGGCCGGGGCCGGCGTGTGTGTGTGAGGGTCCCTTCTGTGGCGCCGTGCCCGCAACCGCGTCCACCGGCCGCCGCGCAGCCTTTTTATTCCCTTTCTCTACATCCAGACACCCCCCATTACCCCCCTTCCTCCTTCTCCGGGAGATGTTTTATTCATGACCCCGCTGGGCTTTGTACGGGGGGCGGTTGCGTTCTTCCGCAGTTCGTCAACTGCTGCCAGCCCCCGGGGCTGGAGGGGGGACGTGGGGCTCGCGGCTTGGAGGCGAAATGGCTGCAGGATGGACAAGGTTTTCCCATCCGGGCAGGCAGCCTGAGGTTTGAACGGAATCTGTTTGTTTTGGGGGTGCTGGCGTGGCAGCGGATCAGAAGTGGAGTGAGTAAGGGGGGTCTCTTGCTGCATTTCCCTCCTGTCGCAGGAGGGACGTAGCTAGCTGCAGTTCTGCCGGCCTCATGGAGAAGGAACAAGTCACTGCGAGGCTTCTGTAGCAGGTTTTATGCGTATATGTATCTCCGCTTTCAAGGGTTCAGCAGCAAGCGTATTGCAACACCAAATGTCTGTCAGCCAGGCGGCACTTACACCATCACCGAGTTAACTGTAGATGTCAGACTGTGCTTGCACTGATGTGATGTCAGATTCGCAATAACATGCAGAAATGGGGAATTTGGTGCGGGCTGAGCGTGATGGAGATGGCAGAGACCGAGCTGGGGTGGACAGACTCACTGAAGCCTCTTTCTTCTCTGGTGCAGGGCCTGCTGTGTGCGTAGTACCCTGACACAGGCAGATTGTAGGGGCACTGGGATGATTGTTAGATTTGTGGATGACTATCTATGGATTGTTAGATTTGTGGATGACTGTCTGTGGATTTGGAGGAGCAGATATTTGTGCCTGGAGCAGAAATACTTAGCTTGCTTTCCCTTACAAAGGTACTCAAATATGCGTTGGTTAGAGAGTCATTTGCTGATTCCTGTCTTGTCTGTGACTTCTATGATGAAGCTGTCACCATGGGTATCAGTCAAGAGAATTAGTTTTGTTGTGTGCTGTAGAAAGCCAGCTGCAGTCAATAGGTGGTTTCATATTAGCTCCCAATACTGCCTTTTGATTTCTCATGAGCTGATCATGGATTGGTGAACTAAAATTGAGAGATGCCAAAACAAGTTCCTCCCCTTACTCAGTTTACCATTTGCCTGCCCTTCACATTCCTCATGCCCAGGTTGGTTGGATTTAAATTCTGGTCCTGAGTCTGTTCAAAGAAATACGTGTGTTTTGATTTTGCTTTTCTAACTTGCTATTGGTGATAGCCATAGGGCTATATGTTTCTGAAGATCTACCATGTATGGGGGCTTGAGGTGTTTGCCCTTTGATATGAGTGGAGTGCACCAGTACTGCTTGATGTTGTTTAACCTTTTATTATCTTAAGCGTTGTATGATGAGGCAGCTTGATTTAATACTTTGTGATGATGCAATAGAATAATAATTATTAATCTTCTTATTGTACGAAGAATCCTTAAATACTACTCTGTCTTGGGAGGTACTTCATGTGTGTTTATTTCCAAGAAGTGGAGGCATGGATGAGCACTGTTTGATATTAATTATGTTTGTTCATTTTGGGGTGGGAGGACAGCAGTAGGTTGCCTCTGGTACTTTAAGTTGTAATTTACGGGTGTGACATCATGCGGTAGATAAGCTTTTATAGGATCTGCCATGTAAATTACAGCCTTAGTTTATGTATGTGCAATTACTTGTTTTGAAAATCCATGCTGTATAGTTTGCATAAGAGCTTGCGCTGGAGCCATGAATAAGATCTAGCAGAATGTGCTTTAATTGCACAATATTGTTCAGCAGTTGAAAAGATTTTGCTTCACCTTGTGCTTGCAGCCTGTCCCAGGCGTGAAGTTAGTACATTGCATCTGCATGCTGCGATATTCCATGATATGTATGGTAGACAGCTGTGAAAGCAGTGGCCAGGTGCTTTTATTTTCTTCTTTCTCCAATATCCGTTTCATTTTCTTTTTGAAAAGAACTGGGGTGCTGAAATGAGTGACTTCAACTGATCTCTGCTGGAGAGAGCAGCTTGGTTATTTAAGGCTGCTGTAGTTTGTTATACAATCAGATTAACAACGGTTGAAATGATCATTCAACTTTGGGTGAACAAATGATATATATAACATCATAGATTAGGGCAGCTGCATCAGAGAGGTATGCTGCAGTTAGCATATTGCAAATATTGGACAAAAACCACAATGAGTGGATACAGCAATGTAATAAATGAGTTTTTGGTAAACTAACTGGGAATTAAAAGGTACTTACTATTGATTGTCTGTACTCCAGGAGCTTCTGCTGTGTGTTAGGTGCTGCCTTGCATGCATGGGCAAACTTACTTTCAGCTTCATTTAGTTGACAAGCAGAGGCCTCAGCAAACGTCTTTGTGCACAATCCGATCATGCCTAGGGTGCTGAGCAGGCTCTGTTCTAATTGCAGTGCAGGTTTTGGCTCTAGGAAGATGACCAGTGCTCAACTGGAAGCTGTTCAATGAAAAAAATATTATTCCAGACACGTTTGCTGAAGCTGGCAGCCCCTCAATCAGTTGACTATTTCTTCTTGTTGTGGAAGCAGCATTGCTGCAGGAGAGATTTTTAAGGCTTGTCTCCCTGAATGTGCTCAGAGAGGAGGCGATGAGGTGCATTCTGCACGGCAAAGGTCAATGCAGGAGTAGACAGTACAGGCAGTGCTGGTGTATCAGAAGTGGGACCCTGCCAGAGGAGTCAAGGGGCAATATAGAAAGGTGATGGTGGAAACTTGGGATGTGGGGGAAGTAGCTGGAACGCACGGAGGAGAGGGAGGTGTTTATTGGCTTTACAGCAGGGACTTCTCTGTGCCTGTGTGTGCAGCACTTCACTTGGACCCTTGTCTGCAGTTGCCATGCAGTGATCTCGTGTGGGCTCTGTTCTCTAAGTGGACTATGCTCTAAAAATACTGTAGCATGAAATATGCCCACTGTTATTTTAGTATGTTATGGTGTCAAGTGTTTAGGAGAAAGGAGGAACAATTGACTCCTGGCAGTCAGTTTTCTAGAGGGCTTTGTATTGGCGCGAAGCTTGGCCCTTCCAACCTTCTTGTTCTGTTCAGGGAAAGGTAGGATACCGTCAAGGATGCTGCTCTTTCATCCTTCAGGAAGATGATGGAACAGGACTAAGTTTTGGATACACATTTAAAAAAACATTGGAAAGGTTGGGGTTTTTAAAATTATTATTTCCTTGCTTTGTTTAATACTACACAAGCAGGCATCTAATTGCAAAGGGATTTCATATGCACTTGCAAATATTTATCACAATGCTACTGGCTGATCTTTATGCTGTATAACGTATTTGGGACTAAATGTACACAAGCACACTTAGGGTAAACTGGAATCTAAGGAGGTACTTTTGGGAATAGGTAATATTGTTAAGGCTGTATTATTGTAGGACGTTCAGAGAAGGGATGGTGTGGAATGTGATATGCAGTCAGTAATTTTAAGGCTATTTCTTTTACTGGTGCTAATCTACTTTAGCTTTGATTTATTAACAGGTTGGTATCTTGTCTTCAATTTTATGTACTGAATAAGAGCAGTTATTTTTGCTCAGACTGGAGATCTGTCTAGCTCAGTATCTATTCTGATAGGGCTACTTACAGATGCATAGGAAAACTGAAACTACAGTTACCCTCCTCCTGGTAAACCCTTCCAGCAGTCTTGCTCTTTGGTCTGGCAGTTCTGTTGAGACTGTGTCATGGTTTAGCCCTGGCTGGTAGCAAAGCAGGCAGCCACTTGCTTGCTCCCCCCGTGGTGGGGTGGAGGAGAGAATCAGAAGAGTAAAAGTGAGAAAACTTGTGGGTTGAGATAAAGTTTAATAAGTAAAGCAAAAGCCATACATACAAGCAAAACAAGGAGTTCATTCACTACTTCCCATCAGCAGGCAGGTGTTCAGCCATCCCCCGGAGAGCAGGGCTGTATCACATGTAGTGGTTACTTGGGAAGACAAAACACTAACACTCTGAATGTCACGCCCCCCCCCCACCCCCCCCCGTTCTCCAGCTTTATATGCTGAGCATGGTATCATATGGTCTGGGATATTCCTTTGGTCAGCTGTTCTGGCTGTGTCCTCTCCCAGCTCCTTGTGCACCCCGAGCCTACTTACTGATGGGGTGTTGTGAAAGGCAGGAAAGATCTTGACTTAAATACTACTCAGCAATACTAAAGCAACCCTGTGTTATCAACACTGTTTCCAGCACACATCCAAAACATGGCCCCATAGTAGCTACTATAAAGCAAATTAACTCAACTCCGACTAAAACCAGCACAGTGTTGCGTATAATAGCTGCTGATGGATTGTCTTCTCTGAAAAATGCTTAATTTGTTTCGAGAAACTTGGTGTTTCACACTAGTGAAACATTTCGCATTAGTGTTCACAACATCCTGTGTTAGTGAACTTCTGGTATAATTGTGTCCCCTGAAAATGATTTTATTTTGGTTTATGGCTTGCCATTTGAACTGCCTACCCTGTGATTTTCTCTGAGTTATGGATGAGTATTTTCCTTTTTAGATTTTCACATAGAAAATTATGTATGGGGATGTTAATGGGTCTTAGAACATATATAAAGATAACTGCTATATGTTTGCAGTAAGGCATGCTCCCAGCCCCTTTTACAGTCTCATTTCATAGAAATGTGCTGTTACTGCTGTTTCATTTATGTGATTGCATGCAAAAAAATGTTCAAATACAATAAGTGTTGTGATTTCTGCAGATGTACATTGTGCACGCAGATTGTAGTAAGTCTTGATTCAGAACGAGTCAGACAAGAATTGCTGTGTGCCA